CCAGCCCTCTGTATATATTTTTAATGATATTCTTACATTAAATTTTTTCAGAGAAAAAAAAACTTAGAGTTAGTACAAGAAGAATGCTGCATAATGCCTTCAGGATTTTTTCTACCCAAATGATTGTTTCTGAGAGAGCTGGCAGTTGGATAATTGGTGTTAACCAAGCACCCAAAATATGAATAATAGAGTTTTAAAATCTATGAGATGAATTAAAAGTGTTTACAGTTGGGCAGTGTACATATAGGGCTCTGTTTTTCTGTATTTTGTGTGAAATTGTTTGGTTCCGATATGGCATGAAGGTCAGCAGTCCCAGGTATTTACCTCCTGACCTGTGGCCACTAAATGGCCTGTTCATCTGTGCCACTTGTGTGTTCCCTCTCTCATGGGCCAACCTTTTTGCCTGTCAAAGAAGTTGAATCTTGATGAACAGCTTTACATGGATCAGGAAGAAATGGGTTTGGGTAATACCTCTTTTCTTTTTAGGACTGTGCTGATTGGGCCAGATAATGAAAGAGAGAGTAAGGGGAACCCTATGATTTCTGCATTTCTTCTTGTAAACTAGGGAGGTTTTAGCAAAAGTTAGATGTAACAATTCAGCAAGTTCCCATTGGATACTTTACCTGCAGATTTGAGATACATTTTTGAAAATGTATTGTAAGGCAAATTTAGATGCCTATTTGAATTCAATTGATTCCTAATCTCTGACCATCTTTGTGTTTTATATGAAGCTTAGTTGGTGCTATTTCAGGGTCAGACCTCATCTTACATCAAATGTACTGCTGTGAAAATCCTACTTCCAAGAAATTCACAAATGTACTGCCAATAGCAACGTACTTATGGAAAATGGAGATTTAATGCCTCTTCTTAAGTATTAAATTGGCAGAGATAGGAGCATGATTTTGAGACTTGGTGAGGGTGTGGGAGGACAGTCTCTATTATGTGTTTCAGATTGGAATACAATATGGTAAAATCATCTCTGGAAAGCAAGCTGATGCATTAAATCAGTCAAAACTTTATTTCTAAAAATAATACTTACTTAGAAATTCTATTTTCTGAGTTTTATCCTAAGGAAATACTCTTAAGTTATATATCTCTCTGTGTGATAGATTTATCCATCATAGCACTGTTGATGATAGAAAAATGCAGGGGGGAAATTCAAGAATCAAAACAAAAATTGGTTAAATAAATCACAGAATGCCCATTTTTGCAGAAATTGAAAATTATATGGAAGAATAACAGATGATGATGAGAAATTTGTTTTATGATCTATTAAGTGAACAACAGCAATTTATATATCACATAGAAAGTAATTATATTTTATTTTTTAAAATTTGCATTATGTGCAGGGTCACCCCTGGGGTATGCAAGGCCCCAGGGATAATTTTTACGAGGGCATCTGTCTATATAAATAATCAGTCACCCAAATTAGTGTGTCAGCACACATACCAGTAGTCCAATATTAAGTAATCGTGAGCAAGAAGACCCTACCAGTTAATAGGAGCCATCTTGGTTGCTCTCTGGGAGTGAGGATGTACCTCTGGGCTGGAAGTGGCACCATAGGCATGAGTCACACAGCTCTGGGGGGCATTTGGTTGATTTGCATGCATGGTGAGAAAGAGAGGCAGCAGAGGGTTGGAGAATTTCTACAGGAGAGAAACCAAGCCGGGGTCTCTGTGTACTACTGTTTGCTCAGGGTATCTACTTGAAAAACATTGCCA